ATCAGCACCCACTGCAATAAAATAATTTATGGCTCATAAAGATACAATACATACGACATCAGACACTTAGACTCTCGATGCAGGTCGTAAAACTCTCAAAATGTTATTTATACTCAAATGATAGTATATTGTGTTCGTAAATTAAATACTTTGACACATTTTCGTTATTTTTGTCAAAATTTTTGGCATATATCAAACAAAAAAAAAATTATATTCTGATGTGTTGATAAGATTATGCGTTTGTTTGTATACCAGTAATTTTGACAAAACAGAAACCGATTAAAAATCATTTAAAAAAATGTGAATATATATATAAGAATAATTATGTAGATTGTAAATTAATATATCCGTGTATGCTACTATTAATAATATTTATTATTTTTATTTTGATTCAAACTACTTGAAATTAATATTAAAGGATATGGTATTGTTTTCGATATTTTACTAGTACTTTTAGTTTATATTTTAATTGAAATAACAAAATGATAAGCAAATTTATATTCTATGCAAAAGTATCTATAGAGTCTTATAAAGTTTGTGATTTCCCCTACATACATTTTTTTTCTCAAAAAAAGGTTACAAAATAATATATCAATGAACAGTAGGAACAGGAATAGGAATAAACAGGGTACCAGCTCCAACTGAACAGAAGACATTCTGCTTTCCAAATAAAATTCAGAATGTCGGCTGTTGAGGACCTTCTAATGTCAGAAGGGGTCAGATCAAGGCTGGGCAGTCACAGATAATGTGACTGAAAGTCTCATCTGCTTCTAAGCAGAGTTGAAAATCTGTCTCTTTTGACAGACCCATTTTGTTAGGGTGATAACACAGTCCATGGTGACCCCTTAAATATCCCACCAGCAATGAACAGTAATATAGATATATATATATTATATAGTTTGTAATACATTTTATTTATTAGTTATATTTAGTGTATAACATATTCAAATAATTACTTTTGCTAACATTAATCTAGTCAAACTCAATTTATTTCTGTTTCAAATGCTTCACATTAAGTTAACATAAGTATGGGTCACCGTAGCGTATGAGTGTTTTTCAATAGAAGGCAAAATTAGCTTTAAAAACAATTACTTTTCTTTTCTGTTTTGTTTAATTTTCTAAATCAATTGAATGAATTTTATTTTATTAGCAAACAGTAATTATAAATTTAAAAGTTCAATCGAATTTTTTATTGGAAATATAAAGCCGATCAGTGCCTTAAAACTATGTTATAAGGGAAAGGAGCAAATGACATTCAATTTAAAAATATATTATTTTATGTGTTTGCATGAGTATAAGTAGATCAATATATAGCTTGTAAATAGTAAAATTTTTGGTAAAACTTTATTCATTCATATATATTTCTCTAGTCATAGCCTTGCATTTTTTTTTTGTTTAATCAATTTTTTACGACTTCTTGCAAATTTCGTTTTTCTAAGAAAAAAGCTTTGTTTCTCATTCAAAAATTTATTGTTTATATGATAAGAATTGGTTTGTTTTTTTTTATCAAAAATTAGTTTGAACTGCTTATTTATTAGTTGGGACTTTTAAAAACTTTTATTTCAATTTGTTGTCAGATTATAAAAGATTTTAATTCGTGTAAAAAAAACATGTAATTGGAAATTTGCGCTTAATAGGTTTTTATTGATTATTATTTACTATATTCATTTATTATATATTTATTTATATTTAATTTATTTTTAATTATTATTAATTTCAAAATATATAAAATGATGACGAAAATTACTATTTAGAATCTAACTTATTTAAACCAATTTAAATCTTATCTAGATCCTATTTAGTACTTCAAACATGAAGATCCATTATTCTGTCTGTTAGTTGGCAGAAAAATATTAAAACAAAAAGCAAATAAAGGCATCTGAAATAACGTTGTTTTTTTATAAATTAAATGTCGTTACAGTTCTCAACGTAAACTTTGTATAATAAAAATGGTAAAATCGCTATAATATTAAAAAATATTGAAAATTAATAAATATTAAATCATTTTAAAAATAATTACAAAAATTTAAGACACACGCATGAAACTATTGGCCTCAACTGTTTTTGCTGCTCATACGTACTCTATAATATTATATTACCTTATTATAGAATTGATGCAAAAAAACTTTTTTAATGAATCTTTTAAATATAATACGCTGAATTTTGATAGCATAATAATATTTGAAAATCTATTTTTTTTTCTAATGAATATTAGCCACTATAGCTAAGTCTTTGAAACTTTAATAAATAAATTTGATAATTCACTCCTTGCGAAACACAGTGCAATTGATCTTATGAGTCGCGTTTACAATTCTTCATTTAGACTTAAAATATTTTTACATTTTAAATTACACGGTATAAATAAATAATAATTCAAAGATTTTTCTGCCAATATTATTGATAAAATCTGTCCAGAAAATGTTTACCCAGACTTGAAAAAATGAGTAATTATTCCGAGCACCAACGACAGTGACTTGTAGAATAAGGAGGCAACAAAAGAGCTGACTGTCTTGCCAACAGTCAGCCCCATTTTAAATAATTGAATCTGAGTCGTTCTATATTGTAACGAAAATGTCATTTATTGGGAAGGATTTCAATTCAAAAACTATAGTATGAACTATGAAGCCTAAAAACAGACTAAGTCTTATCAACATATCAAACGCAGTCTCAAATAGACTCCTTACACTGAGTAGAAAGGATATCAACATTCTTACCAGGTGTTTCCTATAGGATATTGTAGACCAGTGTTGCTTTTGCGAATTGAATACCCTCAACTGAATTGTAGCAGATTTGTCTTTCTCCGGTACAAATTTGTTGCACAAATAAAACACAACACAAAACTGTCAAAGGCAAACATGTTTATTAAAGCACAACGATTCTTTTAAAATACTGGAATTAGCACAATAAAACAATTTCATTGATAATAATGACATAATACGTCAGATTTAATATGAAATAATATGAAATTATTTAACTGACAGCTTATGTGTCTATCTATTACTTTGAACAAGAACTAAATTATTAGTTCTGACATATAGACTAAGAGGTTATAGTCATATCTGAAAAATATCAAGAAACAAAAGTTTTGAAAAGTAAATGAAAGACAAAGTCCTGAAATTTCATAATTCTGTGCATTTCCTCAGTAAGATATACTGCACTTCAAAATATTTTTTTTTCATTTATTATCCTGAATGAATCAGAACTTTTTTTGAATAAAACTTTAAAGCAGACACTAACCCGTTATTTGTAATATAAGGAATCGACAAGAGTATACTTAATTTATGTAATAAAACTTATAAAGTTTGCAATTAAACTAAGTAGTTCACAATGTAGTTTATAAGGTTTTATAATGGATCCCGGGCTTATATGCGTTTAAGTATATTTCACGTTTAAGAATAAACGCAGATAATACTTACGAAATTAGTGACATTAACAATATCAAATTTTGAAGGTATCCTTGTTTATTTTGGCAATGCACTATTTCTAACTATAGCATTTTTTTTTTTTTTGAATTTTATTTTGATTTTTATTGAATCTTCTAAAAATCAACTTAGAACTAACAATAAATTATCGCTGCTAATTGCTGTATTAAAATATTTTAAAAAAGAAAAATAGATAATTAATTGTCATTAGCCAAAGCTTCGTCCAATTTCGTTACCATGTCTGGCGTTATTCTTGAATAGCCGGGTTTATATAGTTTCTTTCGCTGAGTACTAGCGCTTTGGGTGAGGTTGCTTGCAAGTGGATTTTGATGGTTCCTGAGTTTGATTTTGTACTTTTGTGTGTTGCTGATAATTACATCTGTGACTGTGTCAATTCGAAATTCTCTACACACAGCGAAAAGCACCACATAAAATAGAACAAAGGCAAGAAGATTTCTCTATGGTTTTTTTCCAATAAGAAGTCCACCTCAATTTTAGCAGTCTTATCTTCTTAATAATATTAATAAGAAATCATAGAAGTTTTAAAAGAATTCTTCTTAAATAAGTTAAAAAGATTTTCTTCTTATTTTTATTTAGTGGTCTTCTTGAATTTATTAAGAAGAATTTCTTCTTATATATATTAAGAGGTCTTCTTAAATTTATTAAGAAGGATGCCCTCTTATTTTCAGTTTATGATCTTCTTAAATATATTGAGAAGAATATCTTCGTACTTTCAGTTTGAGGTCTTCTTAAATATATTAAGAAGGATTTATTCTTATACTTACTATATTAACCCTTTGATTTTCTAGAAAAAGTTTGTTATTATTTTTATCTTTATCTGTATATTTATTAATTAACAAAAGTTTTTTATTTATATATAAACTACAATATTTTGCTATATAACTACATACATTAAGACCGAAAAGTTTTCGGAAATTCTCATTTAAAATTCGCGCGCTTTATATTTTTCGATATTTTAAGTTTATGTAGTTTGGCAGCAATTAAGGACAATTACTATGCCAAAAATGAGCGCGATCTGTCAGACAGTTCGTTTACGGCAGCTGGTGAAACCAGTTCACCTCAGTAGTGCGTTGCGAAAAAGACAATGGAAAAAAATATTGAACAAAGAGTTTGCATCAAATTTTGTGTTTCGAACGAAATTTCGTGTGCAGAATCGTTGCGAATGCTACAAAAGGCTTATGGGGAATCAGTTTTATCGAAAACTCAAGTTTATGAGTGGTACAAAGCCTTTCAGGACGGTCGTACGACCGTCGAAGACATTTGGCAACGCACTACTGAGGTGAACTGGTTTCAACAGCTGCCGTAAACGAACTGTCTGACAGATCGCGCTCATTTTTGGCATAGTAATTAAGGACAGTGCTGCCAAACTACATAAACTTAAAATATCGAAAAATATACAGCGCGCGAATTTTAAATGAGAATTTCCGAAAACTTTTCAGTCTTAATGTAATTCTAAATTAATTAGGAATTTATTCTAAAAAAAAATTAAATCTAAAAATGTTTGAAATAGTTATTTGTTTCAACAAATTTTTTGAAATTTTTTATAAAAAGCGTTACTTATAATTATTCTTCAGATTTTAATTCAAAAAAGTATTGTTCCAAAAATGCCCAAACTTGCTTGCTGTTGTGCGAATACTTAATTTTATAAACATAACTTAGCTTAATTACACAATCCACACATTTCATGTATGAGCAGCATCTCCATTTAATTCCATCACAAAACACATAAAACTCAGATATCTTGCAGAAATCAGGTCCAACAACTAAGATATGAGGCTGTAATTTCTCCTTTCGACTAGCATAGCTGTTTATTAATTCCTCAATTTTACGCTCAATATCATTTGGTGTTGTTACAAGCGTTACGAAATCAGCTTGTGCGTCTGCTATTGTCGGTTTTTCGTTCTTACTTTGGCGGAGAGGTTGAAGTAAGGAATGAAGTAACAGTGTACTTATGCAATATTTTGAATCTGTTAACAAAAATAGTGAATTAATTGTTATCTTTGTACAATATTGTTTGATGGTGATTAAATACAAAGAGTAATGTAAACATAATTTTTACAATATAAAAGTGCTTTCATACCTTGCGAGATGTCGTCTTTAAATAGATGTTTTAACATAAGCTCTTTAGAAGTTATGTCTTTGATATCTGCTTTAAAAATTGGTACCAATTTTTTATAAAAGCTATCTAGTTTTAAAAATAGTAAATTTCCAGTTCCGGGATATAATGTTTCGAAATCAATATCGATCTGTTGAGAAAAACAAAGATTAATGATATTAATATAAATACATGCAGAAAACATAATAAACTGAAATATGGAGTCTTACTAATTCATAGCCATTGAAATCAGTTAAGCGTGGCCATTCATCAAAAAAGGTGCTCAGGCTGTCATCACTTTTAAGGCTTGATATTCTATACGCCGATGTCTCTTTCCAAAAAGTTCTTACTGTCTCCCATGGACTATAGTTGTGCTGAAGCCAACACTTTTTTTCGCAAAAATCATCTGCAAATAAATATATATATAAATGAATTTTTAGACAAATAATGTATTTTTTACCGAAACTGATAGGCGTCTCAAAAATGTGTTCCGCGCTGACACCTTTAATTTGCAAAGTAGGCTCGCAGTACAAAGTTGTTATAAAACAGTTTATATTTCATGATAATTTTAATAAATAATATCACAGCTAATTATTAAATACCTTTTAAGTAACAGCTTTATATATATATGCACTCACGATATTAAAAAACACCCGACTTATATATTTCACAAACTATTTATACGAAAACACAAAATAGCGCGACAGTCTCAATTGAAGTTTTCACATAAACTAAAGCGTAATTTGCAAAGTAGAAGCAACTCAAGAATAATAGAATGGCAGACCCAACAAGTTTCCCGTTAGATAACGAATTTGTTGATTCTTCTATGGTTCCCATGCGGCTTAATGAATTCACGAATTATTTTTAATAACTTGACAAATTAGAAATCGGTATAATAGATTAATATAATTTCACAATTATACTTAAAACTATTTAAAAATAATTAAAAACGAATAAATAAAGAAAAATGAAATAAAAATAAATTAAAAAATTTTTATATGTATTCTTGCTACTTTGTACATTCGAATAACCTGTATATAAATTGTTAGAGGCGACAACTCTACGTTAATCACAAGTGTAGGCAGACTAAAACTGCAATAAAATATAATATAAAGTAAATTCAACCAAAAATGCGAATTATGTGGCTATCTTTTAATTTTAAGATGACTTTCTTTTTAATAAAATCAAGCAGATTTCCCATAGAAAAATAAGAAGATTTTCTTCTCATTTTTTTCCTTTTTTTATCTCCTTTTTTCCCCTTTGCCTACAAACAAATATAAGCAGGCAAACTTTTTAATTTTATGTGACATATTTTTCTGTGTGTAGGAATATTTGCGTTTTTTATATACCAGGGGGCACCGACTATTTGCCGGAGGATTTTTGATTGAGTTCTTTGGAGTTCTTCAATGTTGGATGGAGAAGCAGAGCTCCAGAGTTCAATTCCGTAGGTCCATATGGGTTTTATCATTGTATTGTAAAGTTGCACTTTATAGGTGAGATTAAGTTTATAATTTTTGTTTATCAGCCAGTTTAGTTGTTGTTGTTTGAGTTTAATTTGGGTTACTTTGGTTTCTATATGCTTTTCCCACGTAAGCCTTCGGTCGAGGTGCATTCCTAAGTATTTTGTGTCATTGCATTGTGGTATTACTTTTCCATTAATACGAAGGGCAGGGCAGGTATCTCGTCGTAGAGTGAAAGTTATGTGTACACTTTTCGATTCGTTAACTTTTATTCTCCAGAGATCGAGCCATTTTTGCAGTTTGTTGAGGTGGTCTTGAACTGATTTTGTGGCTGTGAATGGGTCGTCACTATGGCTGAGAATGGCAGTGTCATCCGCAAATGTTGATGTTGTTGTACAGTCACTGGTTGCTAACTATAGCTTGGCATTTTATTTAAAAATTTATATTTTGTTCGAACCTTATAAACTTTGTATGTTCGATGTGAACTTATCTGTTACCTTCTTTGTATATCTGTATGTTGACACATACAGATCTATTATAATTGAAGTTAAGTTTGATTTCTATTACATTAAAGAATTTTTTGATCTCTATAGCTTTTTTGTGAGAATTATCGATAAAGAGAAGGTGTATACAAACTAATTGATAAAATGTTAGAAAATCGTGATGAAATATGCCCAATTAGAACAATATTCAGATAAAAACTATTGAAAAAATATTGAAATTAAATAAATATATTTAGTCTTTTGATGTTTTTATTCTTAAGTAACAGAATGAAAGTATATCTATACTTTATCGAACATAAATAATACAGTAAAAATAAAAATATTTATTATTTAAAAATATTTATTTAAAAAAATAAATATTATATATATATTATATAATATTTAAAAATATTTATTTAAAAAAATAAATATTATATATTAAAATAATTAAATAATAAATATTACAAATAAATATAAATAAATATTATAATATTAATATTAAATTTTAATATTAAATATAATATTAAAATAATTAAATAGTTTTCTACAATTCCGCCTTGTGCATATCTATAGTAAATTACATATCTCTATATTTACATACATCTATTTATAAGTATTCATATACATATATATATTTACATTTATATATTCATATATATACACATATATATACAAATCAACATACATTTCGAAGTATGTTATTTTTAGTCTCAAGTTACGCTAGTGTTTGATTTGTACGTTACTTATAACAAAGATAAGATTAGTTCGATGGCAAAAATTGAACGTACGGGTATTTTAAATAAATGACCATGATTCATTATTTATATTTTGCCTCAATTATATATAAGCACTTTTAAAAATAGCTCGACAAAATCAACTGACGGGATTAAATAGCTACACTTCAAAAATCAGCTCATGTCAGGCACTTCAATTCCAAGTTTTTTACATTGGAATTTGAAATTTGCTTTCGTATAAAATTGTGAAAACAAATTATTTTTAATTATCGCTACTCAATTAATTTATCATTTTAATTAATTCTAATGTATTTTCCAGATGATTTATTAGAAATTTATTCAAATTTTATTTGGTTTCTTTAATTAATTAACTTCTATTAAGCACACATAATGCAGTGTTAACTTTGGGTAGAAACATTTTATATTTTATTTTCGATACGATTGTTTGTGCTTTCGATTTTTATATTAATAAATAAAATTATAAATAATTTAAAAATTATTTTTATTAATTTTTTATTTATATTTATTTAGGCCATAAATTGATAAAATTTTATTTTTTTATAAATTTTCACTTCTTACTTAAGACTATTAGATTAATTTGCTATTGTTTACGTACATTATCATAATTTCATTAATATTTTAAACAATAAAAAATATACATTATAAACAATCCATGAATTTATGAGGCTAATTAACTGTCATTCTATATAAAATATAGTCAGGCCATCTGCAGGCATTACTTAAGTTTGTTAATGTTTGTTATTTGTGATTATATGAGTTAATAATTTGGATACCAGTTAATATTAGTTAAATAATCTTGACTTAGTAATAAGACAGCACGTTTTATAAAATTTGAAAAAACCGAAACATGTTGATGATATATATGCTATAATACAATACTGCCTAAATCCAGTTTCATAGCAATAATATTTAACAACGACAACGAATAAATCTCAATTACGTTAACAATTTCTTTATATATATCTTACATTTCTATATCGGTGTGAATGTTAAATGTGAATGTAGTACATACATACTATAAACATAGGTGTTATGCATAACTCGACAAGTCAGTGGTCGAACTGAGAAAAACACAGTTTTTGTTAAAAAATTGATCTTATACATCAACACACTCTCCTTTACCGCAACGCTCTTTTAAATTTTCATTGACTTTTTATCGGAATAATTTATCTTAACTCCTAAAATGGATCTCAGTTTCAGCAATCACTTCTCAACCAAATCTCTTAACCACTAGCATGTTTCTGATGTAAGCAAAAAGTGATGATAGGAGTGATATCTGTAGATTATGATTGCTTGGGGCAGTCCAAAGCAACACTCATTCCATTTAACAATCGAATTATGATATCTTGTTTTTGGCTGAGTCTAAAAAACACAGATGTACCAATTTTTGAGTAAAATCATTAACAATATAACATTCCCTCCGATATATTCAAAATATCAGCTGTTTTACGCAACTTTACTTTACGGTCTTTTAAAACTTTTTTGTTTTTATGTTTTCTAGAACAATTCTCAACTTTAAGTGACCAGTGTATTTTAAGTCTGCTCTGATTTGATTGGTGTAGGGTCTTAGTGATGCTTTTCACAGTATTATTCTATATCAAAGAATAATGTGTGATCTATTTACGAATTCTCTGCATATCATAAAATTGGAGCATATATCGTGTAATAGAATGTTACTCTTCACAAATCTTATAGATTTGTTAACGCTGTTCCCTTATATATGTCGCACTGGAGACTTATTGAGCGATATGACATATTATAAAGACCATAATTATATACACGCGAATATGATATTATTCCTGTTTTTATTCAAAATTAATGCTTACCTAAAGTAATCAATTATCGAGTAGTTAACACCGATACCTACTTAAGAAATATGGAAGTCAAACTGACGAACTAATACTTGCAGCGACTTTTACGATGAGATAATCGAAAAAGTAAATAGATAGATACAAGCCAGTATGATCCAACCTTCAAATATCGCTGTCTTTGTAGGCAGACTGACAGCCATAAAGGGAATTGAATTCAAGACAGTGAAATCGAGGACTGCAATGTAATGCCGCACCACGCTAATGAATATGGAACATCACAAAGGCTTTGTTTGTTAAGTTCAGGGACATAAGAATATTGATGAGAAGAAGATAGTAGACAAATTGATCAGAAAAAGTTCTGACATCTATACAGATGAGGTCAAGTAATCGACACAAACTTCGATGTATTAACTATTTAGGAGCATAGAAGAATTATCGTGATGAGAAATGACTTGTGAACTAATTATGAAGACTGTAAGATTGCCAGAATTATTTAGACTAGATTAGAGAGGAATAAATCGTACATTTTTTCAAATTTTCTTACTAAAGTATTAATGGGGCACTTTACCATTGCACCAACGGTTTTACGATGAAATATTCCAACCAGTGGCGTTGCAGTAATTGCCACGTTGAATATGAGCTAGAATCCTTTAATCACTTTCTGTGTCTTTATTCGGGTATACAGACAAACCAACTTCAATCTTTTAGAAACCATTTCGTTACAAATGATTTATCAAAGACAAGTTGATACCAGAAAATATCAATGCAACATTAGTGCATCGCATTCGGCAATACATGTGGAAGGGTAGAAATGCTGATGGCTATGACAGCATGCGCCCTCTCAACTTAATCTAACCTATCAATCATATAAGTATACATGTTATAAAGTACTAAAATATAAAAGTACATATGTAATAGAGTATTTAAATAAGATCCATAGAACTCATTAAATAGTAGTGACTGTAGGTGCAAGTTTCGAAACCAATGTATGTTTAGTTATTATTTGTAAGGATAATAATTAATAATTAATAAAATAATTAAGTAATCTCAATTAATAAATTTTGTAATAAAAAAAAAGAATGGATGATTGTAAACTTATTCTATTCATTACCACGCAGAACTATAGTATTGTCAAGGCTATTCCGTGGTTATAGAATTTGTCAGAGAATAATATCATAATGTTTAATATATTATAAAAAAGTATAGTATGTAACGATTAATGGCAGTGTTCGATAGTGTTAACTTTTTTAACAAGTATAAGTGCTCTAATCAACGTAATTAATTATAAATAGTTATAAAAATATAAATAGAATAACCAATAATGCTAAATATAGTACACCACATATGAGTTCAAAGTGTCTAGTCTATTTAAGTGTGACTTCTACTTAAAAAAATTATTTTTCTGATTACCAATAGTAAAATTTCTATTTATAGAGTTTTTAAAATTTTCCAAAAACAGTTAAGGTAATTTGATAAAAATTTTAATGAAGTATTGAAAATATTTTGTTTATTTACTATATTTTTCATGCACTACTCGTATTTGTTTTGATGTGATAAATTATCTAACATTAAATAGATACTTCACTACTTAAAGAAGCAACTTGTTGTATGTCTTATCAGTTTTAAATGATTTATTATGTAATTTTAATATTTTTTGTATATATTGAATTTTAAAAATTATTGAAAACAAATTTTTGGTCGGTGTGAGTAACTTTTTATTATAGTATCTGATACCTTATAGTAAGTAATAAATAATTAAAAATACTGCGAATATGAAAAACATTTATAAAATTTTCATTTAATTAACATTCTGGTTATTGATCTTTTAATTATAGACAGAATAAAAAATTTGACGGATGACTTCTTCAAATGGAAATATTGTATAACTTAATTGCAAAAAATATTTTTATGTATTAAAATATTTAATACTCCGATAAATATATTTAAGAGCATATGGCTGTAATTAAAATATATTTTTAATGAATATATTTTTTGAATATACCATATACATATCCATTATTTATAATATTTATTGACAAATATCTTGTTTATAATACATTTCTTATAATTGAATTCAGAAATAAAAATAAAATTTTATGTTATCATTCTACCAATAGTAAAAATAGAAACAGTCCATCTAAATGATTTTATATATACTACATATAAAGTTATATTTCTAGTTTTAATCGTATAAAGTATTTCTTGATGACTGCTTATAACTGTATAAGAAACAAGTTGTTGGTATAACATAAATAAGAAACTAGAAAGAAACTATACAACTATATTCAAACTGATCTAATTTCCGAACATTTTGGTATTCGAATAGGCTTGTGGTTAAGCATTTATTCCGGGCTTGAAAGCACATTATAATATTAGAATATAGACGAAGAGTATCCTCCACTTTTTTCTTAATCAATTTTATTTTCTTGGAAAGTAAGTTAGTGTAATACTTACTAAGGTTCAGAAAACGTGAGACTTAGTGAAAGTTATTCTTTTGAAATTAGCAATATCAACTTAGTGTAATTTTAATTCGACCTTATTAATAATCAAATTGTCTCTTGTGGGGATTACGTTTAAAACTTACTTCTACTACTGGTTTTGATTACTGGAAAACTAAAAAACTCTTGACAAACATATTAGTTATTAATGAAACGTAGTATCCATTTAAAAATACATTGAAAATTTTATGTTTTAGAAATACTTTATTTATTTTTTAATATAAATCTAATATATTTATACTATAATTTATTTTAATTTATTAAATATCTAATTAAAGAATTTCATGCATAATTTATTTTAATTTATTAAATATCTAATTAAAGAATTTCATGCTTCTTTCCGCAGGAATGTGTTTCTATCTACTTTGGCTATTTAAAATGACGACAATAATTCCTTTTTTTAATTACAAAAATACAAAAGTATATAATTTATATGAATCTATTGCAATATCAGATGAAAGAAAGTAATTATCCAAATGAAAGCACTGAAATTATTGAATAAAAAAAAAGTGTTTCAAATATTGGCACAACCATGGCATTTGGAACTATTAAAACTGATGAAATATGTAATTGCTATAGAAAGAAAACAATTTTCTGTATTACCACATCAAATAGAAGAATGCCAAACCAACTAAAGCAGCAACTAAATGAGACGTTGATGTCGTCAGTACAAAGCAGTAATAATTTCTGTATTATAAACTCTGCATTGGATCAGCCTTTTAGATTAATGAAAAATGTTTTTAAAGCAAGACAAAATAAAAAAAATTATGAAAAAAATCAACAGGATATAAGTCAATTTTCTATGAAACCAAAGAGACAAGCAGTATTACTTAAGTGTATTCTATTTCTGCTACTCATGTTCCAGTTGCTTCCGCTGACAACATGTGAATCGACAGCTTGTAGGGATAATCAAAGTCGCACCTGTGAAACAATTTGTGAGGCAAACACTAAATCTACAGTGAAATGCACAATACGTGCGTTGGTGTTATTGCCCGAGGATGACATCTATGTAGCATCACTAAAACGTGTACTGCCCATATTGCAAGTAGCAGAAGACAAAATACACGAAACTCAATTAATACCACGTAACATACATTTCGAATGGATGCCCAAGGATGACAAGTGTGATGCAGCATATGCCTCTATTGGCGCAATGGATGGTATTGTCAAAGATTGTGCACATGTCATATTTGGACCAGTGTGTGATTATTCTTTGGGTATGTATGCAAAGAGTGTTCTCACTCAGAATCAATAAAAAATTAATTTTTAAATAATTTTAATTTTCTTCACAGCTGCTGTGGGTCGTATTACCAAATATTTCAACAATCATGGCACTCCATTGATCTCAGTTGGTGGTTCCACATACGCCTTTGAGAAGAAGAAAACAGCTTGTGCTGATGAATTTTACATGCTCTTACGTACAGGCATGTTAAGCTTTGAAACGATATCCGAAATGACCATATCAGTTATGAAACGGTTTGTAAGAATATTTATGACTTAATTTCAGAATATATTATAATTTTTTAAATTATTCCTAATATAGCAACAAATGGTATCACTCGGTTTTTTTCTATGAACCGGATGGTCAAAAAAATGTTGCCGGCTTACATACTTGTTTCCTGATGATGAACAGTTTAGGAAAACAAATGCGTAAAGAAAACATGACCTTTGCACAACATCCTTTGGACGTAAAAGTGGAGAACCGCAGTATGGAAATGATACGTGAAATTGGCAATAAACATGGAAGTAAGTAGAAACTTTTGTAATTTTATATTATTAAAAGTGGTAAATACTTTCAAAAATTAAGAAGTTCAAAAATTAATACAGCGCATGAAAAATAATATAAACATATTAAAATTGAATTTAATTTAATATTGTTTATAAATATATGTAATCTATTGTAAATTAATTTTTTAAGCTTTTCACAAATTGTAATTTATGGCGGATAAGTTCCTTGTAAAAGTTTCTTTATCTGAAAGTTTAATAACAAAGTCAACTGAAGCTTTTTGGATAATCCTTTAGCTTTTTAAGAAAAAATGACTTGAGAGCTTGTTTTATTAAGAACATACACCTTTTTATAACTATTAGATTTGTCTGAAACGCAGTTAAAACAGGTTATAGTGTTATTATTATTATTATTACTATTATTTTTAGTTAATTCTAATTTCATATTACATTTAGAATTTCCTTATGAGTTAAATTAATTTACAAAGTAAATAACTAAAAAAATTAAAATATGTAGGACTATGACACATTTCATCTCGTCTATTGGAGGTTTGATAATACATAAAAAATATAAGTCAATTAAATCAATCTGAAATGATATATTTTCTGTGCACTAGTGAAAACCGAAACTTAGTGAAACCGAACAAAGCAAACCCATTTGTTGCCATCCGCATTAAAAATAATAGTTATTATTACACTTATTAAATTAATAATAATTAAGATTTATATATATTATGTTTATTATATTTTCTTCGTTTCGAACTACTACTCCAAAATACAGACATCTGACCCACTTAAGACGAGAAACCAACCCAAGCAAAGTCCTAAATCATCGCTTTCTCCCTTATTATACAATGAATAATATATCTGTTTAATGGTGATCATAAGAAGAGTTTTAGGGAAAAAATTATGAAATTTTTAGATACCTTCCTTCTTATTTTATGTAAGTATGATATATGGTTAGTTCCAACACAAATTACTTATAATAAGTAAGTAATTCTAATATTGAAAAATTATTAAAAATCTCTCATTGTTTGATATTCCTTTATTGGCACTATAGCATTTATCTACATTACAATACTCCATCTATTTTTAAAGTTTAATTCAATTATTTTCCATTCATTGATGCTAAACTTTATCAAATTAATTGTCCCCCCCATCAAGCCAGCGGATATTTTTTCGCCTTACTGTTATTTTTTCATCGCAATTCCTAAAGTAGAATATATAAGTCACTAATTTAAGTGCTAATAAGTGCTATGTGGTTACTCCATCTAGTTCATCGCAATTTTGTTGGAACAATTAAACTCAAGTATTATCAAAGCAGCAGAATCTCAAAATTCGTTATTAGTCAGTGCTATTCAACTTACATTCTTACGGGGCCTGCAACATTCTTGTTGAATTTACTTTTTAATATCCACAGTAAAATGATTTTATTTCGCTTGTTTAAAAAAATATATGGCGAATAATTGTCTTTTATTAATGTATTTTTAATTCTTTAGACATGAGTCTTGATAGAGAGGTAGTTATCAAGAATGAATTACGTTTAAACTGTAATTTTTAGTTACAATTTAGCTAAATCAATATACTATATATGGTTCACGTTACTCATATATTTGTTTTTTTCTTCTTTTCCTAAGTGCTTTGTCCTCTTCGAACTGTATGTAAGATATATAACATGATTGATATTTTTGTTTTGTCTACATCTTCAGCGATCTTATACTTTTACAAAACCACTGTCTTAGATTCTTAAGCCACGATATCTTTCTTCCTCCAGAGCAGCGTCTTCCTTCAATTCTTTCTTCAATAATTACCTTGAATAGACCATATTTGTTTTGCTATTGTTAATAAAAGGTATTCATCTTCAGAAACTTCTATCCATTCTGAAATATGCACTTAATATATTAATCATTAATATTCCAAATAGGAACATTAATTGTAACAATGATGCGATAGCACTACGCAATAACTTTTTAAAATCAATTATAAAGAAAGACACTATTTTCTTCATATAGGTAAACTACTTTTTAATGTAACGAAATTTTATCATTTGTAATTAATTGTATTTTTCGCTCTTTTGAGTATTGAGAAAAACGCATTATCAGTAGTGGTTTTGGGAATATTTCTTATATATGATTATTCGTAAATAATATTTTAAACTGTGTGTACTAAGAGTTGAACTTGCCATATTTGATACTTTTTTGTTAATTATCTAAGTGGCCCAAAGCCGCGTTTAACTCATATTGTAATAACTTAGATTTTTGCGAATTTGCTATGAAAGTTTTATTAACAAATTCACTTGCTATTCTATATTATATTAGAACGAAATCAATAACCAGCTGTAGAATAATTGATTCAATGAATTATAGTTTAAGCCCATGTGCGAGTGCGAGTAAATTGAGGTAAATTAAATTGAAACTTCCTAGGGATTTTTTGTAACTGTAATATTTATTGATTTATTTATTGCACTTATTTATTATTTTTGATTAAAAGTTTTCAAATTTATTCAATAAACATCTTTTAAAATTTTTACAATGGTAACACCTAATTTACTCAATTTTTATCTAATTTAATCTACTCGAAATTCTGGTAAATATCAACATTCGCTGCCATACGGATATAATTTACTATTTCCCTCAATTTACTATCAATTTACTCGAACTCGCACATGACGTTAATTGTTAAATTCAGTATTGTTATTTAGTATAAATAAATAAATAAAATAAAATAAAATAAAATAAAATAAAATAAAATAAAATAAAATAAAATGAAATAAAATAAAATAAAATATAATAAAATAAACTCAAATAAAATAAAATAAAAAAATTGATTTCTTTTTAATAATCAAAAATGGCGATAGAAACTATCTTTTTAACAGAAACTAGACTTTTTGAACAGTAGTGAAAAAAATTCTTATCAAATTATATAAAAAAAAGTTTTTGAGAAAACTTTATTAAAAGTGATCCACTGTCTAATTTATCGCACCAAACAAATGTGAAGGAAAAAATGTAAACAAAAATTGATAAACAAGTGGTTTTCGAAAGCTTTTACGCCACGTGCGTGCGAAGCTTTTCGAAGTTGGCCAGAACAGCAAAAGCAAAAACAACGCCTCCACCCAAACTGATATCGCATCAACCGGCAATTTGCGTGCACACAAGCAGTTAACAGTTGTGTGAAAATGAAATGGGCAACTTCGAATCCTTCGCCGAATGTGCATGCACTGTAAATCGCTCGTAACAAGTGTGATGCACTGAAGTTCAAATGCAAATTGCCATTTGCTGGTAGTAGCCAGCACTGATAAGACGCAAACGTGGCGGTTAAGTGAACAAATAAATAAATAAATAAATAAAGAACAAATCGTTTTAATTGTGAGTAAGAAAATTAAAAAAATTAAAATATTTAATTTTAAATTTAATCGATTTAAAAATATTGTGAATAAAAAATATATTAAATAAAAAATACATTAAATAAAAAAATGCATTAAATAATATAATATTTTATATAAAAAAATATAAATAAAATAATATTTTATATAGAAAAATATTTTAAATAAAATAAAACTTTAAATTAAGAAATTTACAATCGAAATCCAACATACAAAACTAAATAAAATTATTAATTACGCGAGTTTACATAAAATAAATAAAAGTGATATGCAATGATGTGTTAAATATTAAATATTAATAATATGAGGCTAGTGCAAAATAAAATTAAAAAATGATGACAATTTATTTTGTTTTATAAAATTATATGCTAAAATATTAATGTCACTCACTTAAAATCTATTAAAAAATAGTCTAATAAAAAAAACACAATTTATTATTAATTATTAATAATTTATAATAAATATTAAAAATATCAAAATAATAAAATAAAATTAAATTTGAAATTAAGTTTGTTTACAAATTGTTTTTATATAGATTGTTATATAAAGATTTATTATTTATATAGGTTGTTTGTATATACGCTATCTTAAGTCATTTAATGTTTACCACAGTGACGGTTAAATAAATATTATTTACTGTTGTCATATTAAAAAATTTTATTTATTGAAACGCACATATCCCTTATATAATTACAAAAGTATATATATATATATATGTATGTATGTATATACCCATAGCCCAAAAGAGTCGAATTCTCCCCATTTTATAATAATATGTATATTGATATAAAAACTGAGTTCAAGAAAAACACAAATATATAAATCATTTTGGCCCATGTGTATTTGAAAAATTAAAAGTTTTTTTAAAACTTTCTTCATTATTTCTTTTGTGAATAATGAACTGAAATCAAATATTTGTCAAATGATTAGGTTAGAAAAACAAATTACATTAATGGACACATTACCGTTTAAAAAGTAATTCAAATATTAGAAATGAAAACATTTAAAATATATTCATATCATTTTAGATATCAGAATTATCACTGATATAGATATAGAAATTATCAGTCTATTCCCAAAAATACCAATAATTGAAACCAATAACGCCTACTGTAGATGTCAATCAATTGAAGGCACTAATGAAACAATCGGTAATTTTAAATCTTTTCACATTATTATAAAGACCAAAAATATACAACAAATACTGACTGTGTATTTTTTTACAATACTGTATGTAAGATATATAAGAATAAAATACAGTCTTAGCTAAAGCATTGGAATAGGAATAAACAGGATACCAGCTCCCAACGGAGCGTAGCACTTCGATCATGATTAATATTTTGTGATTAATATTTAAGACCCTAACCGAACAGAAGACATTCTGCCTTTCGAATGAAAGCCAGATGGTTGGCCGGTGAGGACCTCCTAATGTCAGAAGAAGAGAATAGTTCTCGATCCAGTGACCTCGTCCTGGCCCAGATCAAGGCTGAGCAGTCACAGTGAATGTGACTGAATATGACTAAAGCATACTTAATATGCAGCTTTAATGAAATAATAAATTCATAAAAAACAATAAAAATAATAAAAAAAACTACTTCTATTATTAAATATAATAAAATAAATAGGTTAAGATGTGACT